AAGGGGAGAATGACGTCCTGGGATTTGCTTGAGAAGCTTCTATGGATGCAAGCAGTGTTTTGTTTGCTTTACTAGCTGCAGCATTACACTGAAGGCTCATGTTCATCTTGTGGTCAATCATGACCCCCAAGTTCCTTTCACCCGTAGCGCTAGCCAGCGTGGCACTGCTGAGCATATAAGGATGCTGCAGGTTTTTCTTCCCATGGTGGAGAACCTTACATTTTTTGGTGTTAAATACCACCAGGTTCTCATCTGCCCATAGCCAAGGGGGCTGCTGTGCCCTTTTGCTGCCTTTCCTCCGAGATGGAATAGTCTTGGCTTGTGCATCCAGGATCGCTCCTTTGAAGAGCAACCACTTGTCCTGAACTCCCCTCCCCTTTGGGCTGTGGCCCTTTAGGGCCTCACTGAGAAGCCTTCTGAGTTGTTAGGGGCTGGAAGGGACCTTACAGGTCATCGGGTCCAGCCCCACTGCACTTAGGCAGGAAAGACTGCTGGGATCAGATGACCCCAGCAAGATGGAGGTTGGCAACACTTTGAGTTGAGACCCCTTTATGATAATGTAGGTTTGCCTTGGCCATTTTACCACGGTTTCTTTATCAGAATTGTATTTTAATATCAAAACATGAATTAAGAGTAGAAATCTTTGAATTCAGGGGCATAATTACGGGGTCAGCATATGAACCATTAAATTCTTATCTGCTGACAGTTTGTCATAACCCAAAGCCTCTTATTCAACATTTAATGTTGGGTCACTTTAAAGATTTGACAGAGTTTTGACAAAGAATGAAAATGTTAATGTATTTTGAGGTCAGACTTCAACACTTAAATTTAGCACTTTAAGTTGTAGTGTTGTAGACAAACTGTCCAGTTAAATAAGGTTCAAACCCACTACTTCCTGCTAGAGGTGCACTGATACAACGGTCCAATATCACATTGGCACCAATATAAAGAAAATTGACTGTATCGGAAATCAGCCTGATGTGGCTGATATATGCCCCATGCATGTGTGCAGCCACAGTGCAACATGTACAGGGTGAGGAGCACAGCCCAGCAGCTTGGAGAGCTGCGTGCAGCTGACAAGTCTGTTGCAGTGGAAGGGGAGGGAATGGGTGTGGGGGGGTCACAGATCAAGGCCCCCACGGTGAGGGGAAGGCATGGGGCTGGGGCAGGCACTGTCCAGCCAGAGCAGGGTGCAGGATGGAGCTGCGGTTTGTCCAGGGGGCGCAGAGGAAGGGGGCTGTCCCCTGTCACTGCGCACATCCTGGGAGGGCACGGGGGGGGCATGCCCCCCCAGATCTGTGTGGGGCAGGGCAGGTTGCAGGGGGGGGCTGCATCGGGCTCTTCCTGGCTGGGGCTGGGCCAGGCTGTGCTCGGGGCGGGGCAGGCAGTGACAGCACTGGGAGGGGGGGCTGGGGGGGCTACAGGGAAATTTTGGGGGGGGGGGGCGGCCCCCCCCCTCCCCCCCCCCCCCAATGCAGCATGGGGCAGTGGGGTGCAGTGGCGATCACTCTCCCACTTGGCAGGAGCCAGTGAGTGCAGGCCCAATGTCCCCATGACGAGCTGTGGCTCCATCCCTGTCCTGCCCCAGCTGGGCAGACCCACTCCCTCCCTCCCTCACCACAGGGGCCTCAATCTGCCCCTCCACATACACATCCCTTCCCTTTCCCCTCCCCTTCCACCACAACAGACTTACCAGCTGGACGCAGCTCTTCAAGCTGCCAGGCTGTGTATTGGAAATCGGATCAGTATCGGCTGATATGCCTCCTTAAAAATCAGCTATTGGTATCAGCCCCAAAAATCTCTATCGGTGCACCCCTACTTTCTGCAAAAGTATTTGGAATAGATATTAGAGGTGCACTGATATATTGGTTGCCTATCAGATCGACACTGATAAAAGGGAAATTTACATTGGCTTTTTTTGTCCCTTGTAGCTGATAACTTCTCTGATAATTATGCCTTCTTGCTGGGGCCTCTGGATACTTGGGTTTCCTCTTGCCTATGGGGCCGGGGCCTCCAGATGCCTGGGTTCCCTTTCACAAGCAGGGACAACCCAGGATACACCCCTATCCCCTTACCGGCTGGCTGGGCTAGTCTGGAACGGAGCAACTGTCCCGGTGAACCAGGTGCTGGTGTGGCGCAGACTGAGGGGTGGGCGCTGTGAAAGGCGCAGAATGCTGCAGACGTGGGTGGGTGGAGCTGAGCGGCCCGGCCCGGCCCAGCGTGACTCAGCTCGCAGCATGATTTTGTCCATAGTTAATATCAGTTATTGGATCGGTATTGGCCAATATGGCTGGTTAATAATCGGCTGTCGGTATTGGCCAAGAACATCTTTATCAGTACACCCCTAACAGATACAATTCAGGCTGTGTTATCAAGCATAATAAGGAACTCGTGTTTGAAAACACTTTTCTGTTGATTGTTTGTGTATGTGCGCACAGTTGAGGTTAGTGTTGAGACCTGATTTCATTTAAATGAGGAATAATTGCCAAAGTTGAAATTGGCTTTGGTTCAGGTCAGAATCTGAAATTCTCTACATTATCGTGCAGAGAATAACGTTACAGAAAAGATTCTTTTTTTTCTAAAGTTCCTAATTGCTGAAATATAAGCTCTTCTGGATATTCTGCATCATTTCTACCTTATGCCTTACAGTTTGAGATAAATGTATCAAAAGATAAATGCTTGTGACTTGATTCTTACCTGGAACGAAAAGTTACAAATGTAATCTTTCAGAATTATGAAATTACAACACCTTGCACACTTACCTCTTGATGCTGTGCATATTGCCATCAGTGGCAAAACTTAGCTTGACTCAGCTGGTACAGGTTCTGCCCCCAAAAGTATGTTTGTCCTCTTTGTTGCAGTGGGGTCTATTAGTGCTGTTGAGGCAGGTGGCTTTTTCAGAATGGATCTATTTTTGAGACGCTTATGCTTCTGTAGTCTTGCTTGCAGTGTTCATCAACTCGATGCACAAATTCTAATTTCTGATTTTGACTGAATGTGGTTGGTTATTTGTTTTATTTTTTGATTTATGACAATGTCATCTTCATCCTTTATTTTAACCTTTTGTGCCAGGGTCTTGCAGATTGTTTTATGTTAAGTGTTAAAGTGGTTTGATAACAAACACTGACTAGCAATATTCAATTTCAGTCTGCATCAGAACCAGGCTTAGCTCTGTTTAATGCAGCGTCACTGTCAGTTAGCAATTGGAATGCTATCTTCACATCTATAAAGTCTACCACCCCTCCGCCAGGAACCTTAAATTCTTCCCCACTTGTCAGGGGGGTAAGGATTTCTTAGTGATATTTTTTTATTGGACCAACTGCACAGTTGGGATAGAGTTAGATAAGCTTTTGAATGCAAGACATTCTTCTTCAGATCATATCTTGCATTTGAAAGCTTGTCTAAGTCAATCCCAGTTATGCAGTTGGTCCAATAAAAGTTATCACCCTAAGAAATCTTTGCCTCTCAACTAATTCCTGAGCCATCATGGCTGCAATATCAGTCTATCACTATCACTTGTCAGGGAAGCTTATGGTTGCCACTTGGTTTTGTTTTCCAGGCCTATGGTAAAAATTAAATGTTTCATGGGGTTTGTCTGAGCTAGTCATGGTAAGTACATTTTTTTTGCTTTGTTTTTGTTCTTTAATTCACATGTATTTTCTCTCTCTTTGGAAGATTTCCATGAGGTCTGCCAACTGTTGTTTGGATTTTTCTTGCATCTTTTGTATCAGAAGTCAAATTAAATGTGAAGTTGATTTTAATAGTGTTCTGGAATCATTATTAGTGGAGTAGACTGCCTAGGGAAGTTGTGGACTCTACATCGCTGAAGGTGTTCAAGAAGAGATTGGACAGCCACTTGTTGAAAACCACTGACCTAGATCATCTACATCTTTTGTACCAGGACCCATTTGTAAACATTGATGGCCAGTACTGACCCCTACCCCTCACTCCTGACCTGCTGCCCTCTGCCCCCAGCCCCTCCCACAGGGGCAGGGAGTGGATGTGTGGAGCAGGGGGGGCTCAAGTAGTCTCTTGCAAGCTGGAACTCTGCCAGCCTACAAGGGGAAAGCCACGGTTTCCCACGTTTTTCTCCTTTAAAGGAGAATCCATTTTTAAACTTTGATCCATTTTCAAAGTTTGTTCATGACCCTTTCATATATTCTTACAACCCACTTCTGGGTCACAACCCGCAGGTTGAGAAACACTGATCTAGGTGTAGCTATGCCTGTGTTCCACTATGGGTATTTCCCAAGCTTGTGGGCTTTGCTGGTTGCCCTACCTCTCATGCTACATGTCAGGGTGTTTTTAAGCCTTTTTTAGAGGCATTGAGTGTTGGCTATAGCCAAGGCTAGGGATTTTGGCTGGAGTGTGCCAGTGTTCCTGCTGGGACCAAAAGCAGAAGTTCCTGGCTAGAGGGTCTTGCCTCTCTTTCCCAGGGCCAGACATATTGCCATATTTGGGGTCAGGAAGGAATTTGTATCCCATGGTCAGACTGGTATGGACTGTGGGGGTTTGCCTTCTTCTGTAGTGGGAGTTGTGGACCTCTTCCTGGGATCTCATAGAAGCAGGATGTTGTCTGTTGTAGTCTTCCCTCTTGACCTGTGGCAGGTTAGGGTGTGGTCTGTGTGGTCATGGTTGATGGTAGTCTTACGTAGAGTTTAGATAATGGTTTATATGGGATGGTTTGGGTAAGGATGATCCTGCTTCAGGCAGGGGGTTGGGCTAGATGACCTCTGGAGGTCCCTCCCAGCCCTACTTCTCTGTGATTCTATGATTCACTAAAATAAAACATAATTTAAAGCCTGTTTTGGCAGTTTAATTACTTATCTCTTCTTTGTGTATGTGTGTGTGTGTATTCAAGGACTCATGAAGCTAACAAGCTTGTTTGCTTACTGACTTGGCAGTCTCCATAACTACACTGAAAGGGTTATGCAGAGTATTTGCCATGTGTGGAAAATGCAGTTGACTCACGCTTGAGTCAGCTGTTCTAGAAATGTGTTGCGTCTCAGAACTTGCTTTGGTCCTGGGTTCCAGAAGTAATTTAGCAAATATTGAATGAGCACAGGACATCCTTTCTGTAGTCTCTGAACTTGACTCTTGTAGCATGATGAGGTAGCGAGGTGTCATATGATGCCCTAAGCCAGCGGTTCCCTATCTGTGGTATGGGTACCACCAGTAGTACACAGACAAGCTGTCAGTGGTACATGTCAACAGGTTTATTATAATTACTTTATATGACACACAATTTCTGGTGGTACTTAAGGTTTAACTGAGAAATTTGCTGGTTGTACTTATGGTTTTATTGTTTTAAATTGGTGGTGTGCAATCTGTCAGTTTGGGAACCACTGCCCTAAGCCAGTGGGGGCCAATGCATCTGGTCTCAGGGGCCAGGTGAGAGGCATGGGGCCAGTCTGCAGACCTGCATCTGGCGCATGAGGCAGGTCTTCCCGCTTGGAAATTTGACAGTGGGGCAAACAGCTCCCACAGCTACAGCAATTGATGCCGTCACTGCTCCTTTGCTGCCAAATTTCCAGGGCTGTGTTGAGTCCTGTGGGCCAGGTGATGTGGCCTTATGTGCCAGATCTTGGCTCTGGGCTTTCCAATTCAGCTAAAAGATGCATTCTTGGAGAGTGCTGAGGCCATTGTATAGGCAGACGTAGGATCATACAGCAACCGTTCACTTCTCACAGTAATGAGGGTTTGCAGGTTTTCCCATTTAGCCTGAAATCCAAATGTTAAGTGTCTCACGGATCCCCCACTCCTATCATTTGCCTGAAGTCCCCTTAATGCTTGTAAGCTAACAATTTGTGTCAAAGTACTATGTGTCTGTTTTCTCTCTATAATACAACATGTGATCAAGTACCAGGATGTAGTTCTCAGACTGTTTTGAGAGCTACTGCTCTATAATCCTTAATTATTTTATGGTTCTAACTCATATCTGATCAGTGATTATATTTTGGAATAGACCTGAAACAATGTTGCCTTTTCTTCCCCCTGAGATCAGATTTATCCCTCCTTCCCCCCTACCTCCTTAGGGTGTAATGTTTAGGTTGCAAAGTTTAACGTTTGCAACATTTATATTAAGAAATACCGAAGTTGAGAGTTTCAGCTTGAATTGGGCTCCTGGTACATTTATTTTATAGTGTGGTGTTGAATTGTGCAATTATTTTTGTCATACAAGATCATTACCTCACTGAGCGCACAGAAAGGATGTTACTCATTGAATGAATGGCTAGTATTTCCTTTTACCTTCATCACATGGCCCCATGTCTTCCCACAGACTGCCCAATCCTTGCTCTGAATGTCAAAAAAATGATTTCCTGGCGTATAAATCTTATCTTCACAGCACCTACAGACACGAACTGATATTATCTCCATGTTACAAATGAGGAGTTGAAGCAAAAGAAAACTAAAATCAAACTAACTGTCATCATTTCCAGCCTCTAATTTAAGAGGCCTGATTTTAGTGTTCAGATTACTGAGCATTCTCAGAGCCTTGCTTATTCAAACACAGGTTCTTTGGCTTCAGTTAGTTACTCAGCACTTCTGTAAATCAGATTTGAGGGTCTCCGGTTTTGCATTCCTAAGAAGTAGTGACCTGTGTAAAAAGTGTGAATCAGATGACTGGCTGGTATTGTGTAGGATTTAAATGATGGAGGCAAGATTAGAATTTTTGGGATGGCATTCAGATGTGTTAATCATAAGCTGTGTGAGTCTTTTTGCATAGTCCCCTCTCTCATTCACCATACAACCATCAGCTTCTGCAGAAAATAAGACTGGAGTTCTGTAGACAACAGCTTCATTTACTGTATAGTCTTGAATCACTTGCTGAGCACCGACTGAAAAAGTGGCATACGATCGTGAAATTATTCAAAATCCTATCCCGGGCCTCTCTACTTCTGTCATTTCCTGCTTGTGCCAGTTCCCTTGTTTCCTCTCTACTCTTCACTCCACTGTGCTGAAGTGCTAAGATTTGAAAGACTTCTTCCGTCACACTGCCTGGACTCTACCATGGGATGCTTTGAGAATGTAGGGTATGTACTCTTGTTGCTCTCAATTCTGGTACTTTTTAGCTCATCTTCTCTGGTTCTGAAAAATTCTGTTAGTATTGCATTTGTTCAGAACTGCATTACTGGAGCTGACATGTATTTATGATCTTGTATTTTCAGATCTCTCTTGAATACGATATATAATATTTTTCTCTCAAAATTGACCAGCAAGCTAATTTCACTAGTGAAGATGCTTTTGATTTGTATGTGTGGTTGTGATTTTATTTTTTTTTTAAGGATTTTTTTTCTCTCTCTCTCTGAGGCTTTAGCAGAATTTCTTTTCACAGTAAAATCAGAATTAATATTTTAGTCTCTCTCATGTCTCTCAAGACATTTGAGGGAGACTTTAAAGCTACTAAAGTTGTCACAATCTAAGGACTGTCACATTGTGTACATCCACAGATCTTTTATATTTCCATATCTTCAAGCAATCAAAGGGATCACCTTCAAGGCTTTCTCCTTGCTTCTTTCTGGTGCCATTGACTTGAGGATAATTTTTGAAGAACTGGAAGAGCTTTTCACTGAAAATATTTTGTCCCATAAAGAATAGTTTTCCAGCCTGTTTTTTCTATGCTATGCTGGAGATGCAAACAGAGAAAGGAACCAGCTATTCTGTTCAGCTGTACTATACTAAGGACTGTGCAACTATTTAATAATTAAGCTTGTGGTACACTTTAAAAAGCTTTGTTTTGGTTTTTTGAAGTGGAAAATAACTGTTAACTTCTACATCATATCAATAGTTTTGTTTCCTTAGTTAGGCCCATTCATAAACATGTACTGTAAATTCTGGAATTCAGTGGTGGACTAATTCAGGGTCTGTAATGGCTGCAGCTTGAGCATCTTGAAACAAATGATGTTCCAGTGGCCAAGTCCTAGGAAACTTAGGTTCAAGTCCTCCCCCCACCACAGACATTCAGGATGACTTTGGGCAAGTCACTTAGCACCTCTGTGCCTCAGTTCCCTGTCTGGAAAATGCAAGTAAAAACTTGCGTCTCTCCTGCAGCTTTTGTGTGGCTATGCATACTAAAGTTTGAGGTGTTCAGATGTTGCAGTGATGGGAGGTGTAAGTGCTTTTCATCTTACACTGATGAAGGCAACGTGAATTGACTTCAGATTCACCTGCTTTTATTACAAAACTGGTCATCTTGTTTTGAATGCTGTTTTGAAATGTTCAGAGGAGGTTCAGTGATGTTAAGCTTCTTACAAAATGCTAATGTAGGATCTTCTGCATCATGTGGACAGGAAGTAAGACTATTATGCTGTTTATTCCGCTGGAGAGATGAGAGGTCCCCCTTTTTCTCACTGCATACACTGTCTTGGCACAGTGCTGTCTTGGCCCAGTAGCATGATTTCTAAAGTGTAAGACCAGCTCTTTTCCCACATAAAAGACCAGAACTTAAACATGAAAGCATCTTCACACTGGTAACCTACCCTCACGCAGATGTTGCTCTTTCTTGATGTTTTGATTTAACTGTTTTACATGTAGGATTACTAAAAGCACCACTCTAGTGACTCAGTTTAATCTCACTGTCAGATGTTCTCAGCTCTCAAAGTTTCTTTCTGATTGTTTTTAGGAGTAAAAGTTCCTCGTAATTTTCGTCTGTTGGAAGAACTTGAAGAAGGTCAGAAAGGAGTAGGAGATGGGACAGTTAGCTGGGGTCTTGAAGATGATGAAGATATGACACTTACAAGATGGACAGGAATGATTATTGGGCCTCCAAGAGTAAGCATCAACTTAAAGATAAAAATGCCAATGTCACTAATCTCTGCTTTTTTTCCATTCCCACTGCCCCAACCTAAACACTGGTGTGTATCTGACCAGGTATATACTTGCAACCTGGTTTGCTTAGCATGTAAAACTGGATTTTATATGCCAGTGTATCTTTCTGCATACAAGTTTGAATAATGCTGGGTAGCCATTCTCTAGTTAATTCTGTGACAAAACTATCTTTTGTCCTTACACATTCACTCACTCTAGGTTGTGTATGTGCAGAGAATACCCCAAGCTAAATTAGCTTTTGCATACCAGCATGGATTAATCTGTGTGACCTAGACTGGATGCATCAGAGGGCTAATACAGCTATACTGCTTCTACTTCTAGAGGCAGCATATGCAAGGCTAACTTCAGCATTGCTGTTTAACAGTGTTTTGTGCTGTATACACGTACTCTTAGAATGTCACTTCTGATTCCCAGGGTACTGCTGAATACAGCAAGGTTTAAAAACCTTGAAAGTATATTTAGAGAAAATGCAGGTAAAATTCTCGCTAACTGTTCTATTTTCAGTATATTCTGTGCGAGTTCACTTCAGCTTCATTCATCATTTTTGGGAAATTCTTGAGGACTTTTGGGGGGTTATTTCTGTTACAGCGAACTTGCTTACTCAAAAGTTTTAGATAAGTCAGAAAATGCTAATGTTTAGAAGCTCAAACTTTAACTCGGCAGCACTTCTGCCTTTTGTCATACCTCCCCTGTATTTTTATTTATAATTGTTTTGAGTCTGGGTAATGTCTGTGTTCTCCTGTTTAGAAAAGTCATGAAAAAAGCCTGCAACGCACCCATGTTATCACAGTGAGTGGAACAGAAATTATCATGCTTAGTGTTTCCACTTTATCTTTGTCTCTCTACTTATTGACTTATTGTATTACAGTCTTAACAATGAAGATAGTGACAAGCTTGCCATTGCATAGCTGAGAAGCAGCTTAGGTCTGTTGGCTCTTTAGTTCACTCTACTTTCTGTTTTCAGATAGGGAAGGAAGCAAAAAACCATTTTACTGAAAAAAATGTTTCAAATAGGAACTTTATTGCTGATTGCTGGTGGGCTGGGTACATCACAATAAAAATAACCCCTTTGAAGTATGTCTGTAAGAGACCCCTTACTAATCAGTGATTTAGCCTTTGAGGATTTATTCTATGTATTAAAAATACGATAGATGGGATAGTGAAACTATGTTTTTGTGACTTAGAGACGCATAGCTTATTGATAGCTATGAGTCTCTACTTCACAGTAGTGAATTCCAAAGACTGATTATGTACTCTTCATTTGTGCTGGATAGGGGAGGCCAGGATTGGGGTGTGCCATTCCAGCTTCATTGACTCTTACTCCGAAAGGATAAATGGAAGTACCCAAGTTACCTTTGCTGTGCCATTGTATTATGTATGTCTCTGTGTCCAGTCTGCCTCAGTTTTTTCAGCCTGTTAGATGGAGCCCTTTAAACACAGGCAGTTATAGTCTCTGCACCCCTTTTTCTAGTCTTCTATGAGAGAGGTTGACCAGGACAGAAGAGAGGTTGGGTTGACCATGGCAGCTGAGGCTGTACCATTAATACCATGTTTTCTGTATCACCATTTATTCATCCAAACATTTTCTTTGACGGATGCTGTAAACGTATCCCTTGATCCAGTGGTATCTGACCTTTGTCGGCTTGCAGACAAAAATTCAGAGCAAGTCAAACTGAATAGACCTGTGTATGTGGGGAGCAAGGATGTGTGTGTCAGCTGGCAGCAAGAGGCATTAGTGGGCAGCATGTTGCTTGCAAGCCCTGGGTTGGGGACCACTACCCTCATCCACTCATTCATATAGCCATAGTTAGCCCTAGGTTGTTTTCCTGAGAGTGTTTGTTTCATTTTAGAAAGTAAGTTGTGGAAAGGAGTTTGCTTTAATGAGGAGTTTACTATGCAGAGATGTTAAAAATTATCAGCATATATACACCTTGCATAACATTCAGGCAGAATGAAAGTTTTAATCTAATTTGTAGATTAACTGGAAACTTGCACGTACTAATAGGTATTTATTTGCTGGCCCATAACCAGTAGTATAGCTCATACTGTAGAACAAGCTCATGAAGTAACATAGGCAGATTTTTCTAGTGTGCTTCTTTTCTTTCTCTTTCATTTTTCTGACCCATTTATATTTATAGATGAAGTTTTTTCCTGGTATTGGGTTTTTTCAAACTGATTTTTTTTTTTTTTGCTTGAAAGCAGCATACTATATTGAAGTATGGACTCTTGTTTACCATGTATGGCTTCATACTCCGTTTTGTTTCCTTTGTTTCAATGAGATGTACAAAACATGAACTCCAAAAAGCTGCTTGTTTCCTCCTGTAGGCAGGGGTATTGACAGGGGAGTCTGTATTTTGGTGATGGCAGAAGAAAAATTAATCTCCTCTAGAACTAGATACACGCTGCTGCTTCCGATAGTCCCTACTTCCATATATGGAAGCAGGCCTTTTCTCCCGTATATCTTGGTGCAGATAGCTTTGCTGTATATTTACTCTGTCTGCCAGGCCTCAGCCTTGACTGTAAATCTTTCATATTATCTGTAGGCGCTAAGTAATCCAGCTTGTAATGTCTCTCACTTGCAGCACTTATATTAAACAGTTATTTCAAAGAAGCCTGAAAGTTTGCATGTGCTTCTGTGTTGTCATGCTGGCAAAATGCACCTGAGTGGTTTTGACATTTGAATTGTGGATGATTGCCTAATCTATCTAGAGGTGACAGACAAAGTTTGCTCAAGTTCTCGTAACAACCTTCTGTTTGTTCACCTTTCCCGTCTGTTGCCTTCTGACGATCTCCAGCCGAAGGAATTGGAAAATTGTTCTGAATAACTGACCACTGGATGTCACTGTTGCACAGGAAAACCGCTGCCTATGCATATTTTTTCCTAGTAAACCAGAGCCTGCTACTGTGGAGCTCTGCATAAGACTTGCTGTGTGTTATAGGCAGGTACACAAACGTATGTTCAGCTGCACTTGGCCCCTGACTCCTGTGTTTTATAATGGTTCGTATCAGGAAAGATATTAAAAAGATGGTCAAGCTGGGTATTCACTGGGGAAAACTATTGTGTTTGTTGAGAGAGCTCTTGCTATATAAAATCCTGGCAGTCCTGGCTTGCAGTAAGAATTACCCATGCTTTATTTTTGCTGGGAGTGTACATAGATTTTGTAGAGAAGTAAGGCTGAAGAGGACCTCAAGAAATCATCTGGTTCAATGGAAAATCAAACCAGCGACTTTGGTTAGAGCATGGTGCCAATAACACCAGATGAGCTATGGGAATATAAAATACATTACACTAACAAAAGACTCTTCTCTTTAGGCCCCTGCGACCCTGCATACTAGAATGGCAAGAGAGAACTCTTAATTTGTGATTGATTTCCCCCCTCTTCTGTTTGGCTTTTTTTTAAAGCTTGCAGTGCAGTTTTGACTCTACAGGAAAGTGTGTCCAAACTGCCAAATGCTGAAAGTCACACTCCTCTTATGCATATCTGTCATTCTGCCTCCATTATTACTATTATAGCTGGGACACTCTTCTTCACCCAGGATGCCAGAACTCCATGTTCAAAAATTCTGTGTTTTTTGTTTAGTGCTGCACACGTAAGTTGACCTCCACTTTCTTCCCGTTTCCTTATACTATTTTTAAAAATTGCAGAATCAATGCACTCACTACTGCAGGCACTTCCTCTGCCTGAAGAAGGGTTTTTGTACCTGAAAGCTTGCAAGGAAGAATTTTTCCACCTATTTTAGTTGGTCTAATAAAAGATATCAGATTTACCCTTTCTCTGCCTACATCAGGGGTAGGCAAAATGCAGCCTGGGGGCCAGATGTGGCCCGCCAGGCCGTTCTATCCGGCCCACGGGGCCCCTAAAAAATGTAGAAAAGTAATATTAATCTGCCCTGGGCTGCCTATCGTGCGGCCCTCGATGGCTTTCCAAAACTCAGGAAGTGGCCCTCTGCCCAAAATAATTGCCCACCCTGGCCTACATCCTTAGACCAACACAGCTACAACCAACACCCCTTGGTACTTTTTGCTTCCTTCCCCTATACCTTCGTGTTGTTTAGCGTCTCTTAGGTCTGTAAAGCACCAGCCAGTGTTGTTGCTATATAAGACATAATCCTGATGGCAAGTAAACTATTAAATGTATTGTATTTGGAGCATTCCACTTTCCATCCTACTTCCTGCACGTTGAGTTACGAAAACAAGAAAAACCTCAAGGTTTATTTATGTCTCAAACTCAGAGGAGTTAAAAATTGTAGACTTCTCTGGTAAGTTGAGCTTAAATCGCTGGTTACTCTGAAGTAGTGGTTTCCATTCCAAGATAGTTATCTGTAAGGTGAACAGTGCAAAACTCTACTTGCCTTTATATTTCTTTGTATGTATCTGAACTATTTGGTGAAAAAGCTAGACCGCTTTATTCTAATTAGTACCCCAGAAGTGATGTCGGTTTTGTTCTTTAACCTTAAGCACAGATAATATTTTAAATATAAGATTGCAATGTCATAAATGTCTGTTGGAGGTGTTCAGTGCATTAGCAAATTTCTCAAAGGTGAGAGTGCAGTGTGTAGCCTTTGTAGCAATGATTGCCCTTTGAGAAACGGCATGCAAAATTCAAACTTCATGAATATCAGTGACCATCTTTGTCAAGTGATTCATGTACCACCTGACGCAATGTTCTTTTTTTTCCAGACAATTTATGAAAACAGAATATACAGCCTTAAAATAGAATGTGGGCCTAAATATCCAGAAGCACCTCCATTTGTAAGATTTGTAACAAAAATTAATATGAATGGAGTAAATAGTTCTAATGGAGTGGTAAGTTTTTCTGTTTATATTAACCTAGTTTAAACATACACATTTTAAATCGGTGTGTTTTCTGAACTCCCATGTTACTTAACTGAATGCCCTCGGATTTTGCTTTGAGAATTGGAAGAGGGCGGGAGGGGGAAAATGGCATTTACACTATATATAAACTTGCCATGCCAGTCAGTAGTGCTCTCAAACACACCGTGCCACTCAGCCCGGGCTGCTTTCTGAATTGGAGCAGTGTAGCTGCATGCTGATTCTTTGTCTTAATCTGCTTGCAGCACCACACAAATGCAGTTTGCTGCTTATGGTTAGGAGGTAGCCTACATGGAGCAGTGTGGCATGCTTGAGGGTGCCCTTGCCTGGCATGGTAAATTTACAGCGGAGACATAACTATAATGCATCAAATACTTTCCCACACTTGAACTGTGTAGTTGATTTCATCCCCGTCCTTTGCTCTGACAGCATGAATGTTAAACAACAGGAATACTTACTAAACTTGAAAGGAAACTACATTTCTGTTTAAGTCTGAAAAACACTTTTCTTTGTTTTAAAAATGGCATCTAGTAAGGAGCTATATGTTAACAGTCAGGACTGACGGGTTTGGTGTTTTTTGTCTATTTTAGGTGGATCCCAGAGCCATATCAGTCCTAGCAAAATGGCAGAATTCTTATAGTATCAAAGTTGTTCTGCAAGAACTTCGGCGTCTAATGATGTCTAAAGAAAATATGAAACTTCCTCAGCCACCTGAAGGACAATGTTACAGCAATTAATTAAAAAAAAAAATCATGCCCCCCTATTCAATTTAAGCTGTCTTCATTTTCCACAGTAGTAAATTTTCTAGATGCATCTTGTAGACCTCAAAATACTGGAAAGGAAGTTCCCATTCAAAGGAAGTTTATCTTGAATACTGTAAATGATACTAATTTTCCATTTGAAATATAAGTTGTGCTATAACAAATAATCCTGTCATGTGTAACCACTGTCCACATAGTTGAACTTCTGGTATCAAGAAAAGTCTATTTAAATTTATTACTGTCAAGACCAGTGTGGCACATCTAACTCAACTGTGAAAGCATACATCACACAATCACCTTGCTGTGTGTTTGGCCTGGGTTATTCCCCTTCCCCCGCCTTTTTCTGTCTTTTGCAATAGAGTCGAAGCTCAGGGCTATTTATTAGAGGAGACACAAAGGTTTTAGCTTCCAGTACAACACTGGGCTTTATGGACTACTAATGGGGATGTGTGCTAACCTCAATCATCCCTCCCTTTGTGCTATCTCTAGTAAAGGCTGAATGTGACTGTGGTTGTTCTTTTTGGGTTTTCTTTCTTTTCTTTTTTTTTTTTCCTTTTATTGCCCTGATAATCTGGGGTAGGCTTTTCTTCTTCCCTTTGGCCAAGGCATAGATTGTATTTCTCCTCCCGGTCCCCCTTCCCAGTTATGTGGGCCTTGGGTGAGGGATTCAGGGTTCTTTGATCTCTCTCCTCTCCCCCATTGTCCTCGTGGGGGTGCTGCTTTATTTTTTGTCCCCTTCTATGACTCTTCTTCGTGCCAGTGGCCAGCAATGGGGTAAGTGTTGGGGCAGTCATCTGATGTGTCCCCTCGTGCTTGTCATTTTGTTTTTGCAATGAATTTAGTCTTCACCAGCCTGGAAAACAAGAGTATCTATTCTGCTCGCAAACTTGGATCTCCCCTGCCCCCTTGGCACTGCTGCCACACCGCCAAGCTGGCCACGGCTGATATTAGATAGGCTTTTGACATGGTGAAAAGAGCAGTAATTTACCAGGATTGCTTGGATCTGCTAGCTGCCAAACCTTAATAGGGAAACTCCGCATATAGAAATTCTAAACACACACTCCAGTTAAACCAACTTGAATTTTGGTGCTTTACAATTGACCTGAGAATGTTAACTAATAAACAATGCACTTACCTTTTGGCCCTTCTAAAGACCTGACAACTAGAGACAAATCAGCATACTGTAGACTTTGTTCTGACACTTCAAGTCTCAGGAGGAAAAACTCTGCCATGAAGAATTGGAGGGGAATGGTGTGCACAGCAGATTAAGGACCTCCTTTATTGGCATTGCGTCCTGGCAAATCACTGTCTTTTCTGATTACTATTTTGGACCACTAACTGCTGAAATGTGGATGCAAGCTTAAATACAAACAACCTAGTGTGTCCTAAGTTTTATGAAAAAATCAGTGTTTGTGTAAAAAATAAAAAAATAAAATAAAAATAAACACATTTTAAAGCAGCAGCTATCAAGTCAATGAACAATTGATGTTTCCATTAACTCTTTTGAGGAAAATATTAGTTGTAAGGATTTAACATCCTCTGTAATTAAAGTTTAACATAACAGTATTCCATAAGCAGCCTTTTTATTGTATCAGACCATTGCCTGATTTTAATATAATAAAAAGTGTGCATTAATATTAGAAGGCTTTAATTGTATTTATGTTTAGAATGTTGATCCCTTAAATCACTGAATTGTTTGGCAGTATCTTGCTACAAGTGATAGATAATATGGTTATCTAATTTATTTTTAACAGTAAAATGTGAGAATTTCTGGACATAGTTTAATATATGGTGAAGGAAAAAAGACAGTGGTGAAATAAGTGTCCTTATACACATTCTACTGCTGTGCCTCTTTCAGCATACTCTAAAGAGGTTTTTTTTCTTTCCCTTTACATGTCTCTCTCTGATGTTTAAGCTTAGAATAATAATTGGAAATGTTTTCAGTGATCTTAAATTGCTAGAACAAAATCTATAGAGATGTTTGTCTTGGGGAGCTGCTCTACTGTAGTGTCTAGTACAGTGGTCTTACAGGAGTCCCTCCGAGAGAACCTAATTCAGTGCTGCAATGTCTTCTATATACTGTCTGACCGGTCAAGAGAAACGCATTCCCAACATGAGTGTTGTCTGGTTCTCAGGTAGCACAGTGTGTAAACTTGAAGGCCTCTAAAGCTGGACGAAAACAGGGGATGAGAAGTTTCTCTTTTTGCTATTGAGCATCTCTGAATAGAGGAAGTATTAGAAGATGCTGCTTCTGGCTTTTCACTTCAATGTATTGGTGATCTGGAGTTCCCTCAAGCAATCAACTTATTCAAGCTTATCTGATAGTAGGTAAGATTAAATGGTTTGGGTATTCCATTTCCACAATGCTGGTCTATATACCACTCTTGGAAATGGGCTAGCAACAGCCATGGTTTAACACAAATATCATTTTCATCCTAGAGATGGGCATTGCCTAGAAAGGTTTTGGTGCATACTTGAAGATATGTAATATCTATGCATAATAATGAGTTGACATTTTTCGGACATGTTAGCACGACACTCTACCATTACAGTAATCTAAGCCAAATAAAATTGGGATGTAAAAATAATAAATGTGAGCAAAGTTTCTGATTTTCAGCACTGTTGATGTTTTACAAATCCCAGTGGCTTGTTGACTGCTTTGTGACATCAGCTTCTTCCTGAGGCTTCTGAAGACAGGAAAGAACCCCATATTTCATGTAGCTTGCTGTTTAATAAAGTGCCATTGGAGGGGGAAAGCACAGTTTCTGCTTGACCCCTGCTGGCAATCTGCTTATATTCCAAGATGCTTCTGAATGGACCATCTGAAGAGTGAAGAGGTGGAGTAAGAATACTGTCCAAAGATCGAGTCTGTCTCAAATGTGCACCAAGTTTGACTGAAGTCAGTGGGAGCAGCTGGCAAAAATGATTTGCATTTTTTTTTTACTCATTCTTCAATTGGCTGGCTTATCATTTCTAGTCCTTGGAACTATTTGTCATGTCTACGGTCAGACATGTGGATCTCTGATGGGCCTCTTCAGTCATGCAGACTCACCAGTGACTTCGCTCTTTTCTGGAAGACTGTCATCTTTGTGTTGAGGCACTGCTGCTGATCCTGAGTTTTTCGTCGCACTTGAGCAGCTATCAAACATATTTAGTATATCAATTTAGCAGGATATGCCTAAGAAATCTCAGTTTACTACACCCCTTGAGTGGAAAGTAGCAGGTGACATTACTACACTCATTAAACAGTAGAGGGAGCTAACAAGCTTTACAGCCTGAGTTAAGTTCAAATGCTGTTAAAATCAAATGCTGAGTCCTTTTGTGAGAGTCATTTCTCATGTCATATCAATTTCAAACTTTAAAGGGCTGTTTAACATGATTTCCACGTTATTCAGACATGGGTTGGGGTGTATGCATTCATAATGCGAGTCACTTCCTGGGGGTAAGGGGATTAGCGGTGCAATAAGATTTGTTGTTATTAAGTAAAACTAAAAATCTTTTGCTTCCTGTCAGTATACAATTAAAGATTTTAGGGGATAGGGGGAGTTTAATAGTTCTATATTTCTTGCTGCTAGTGTAGTCTTCTAGTTCTTAAACTAGTGTTGTTTCAATCACTATTGAAACAAATAGCTTTTAAACTAGGCATCGGTAGTCAGCTCTGCAATGAGAGGTCAGAATCACACCCGTTTTATATAGGTGAGCAAGCTAAGATACAAGAAGTGCTCAAGTAACTTGGGGATATACAGGGATATACAGTGAGGCAGTGGCAGAGTAACCCATTAATCCATGCCTTTTTAATAGTGTGTTTTCCTGTAATACTGAGGAGACGCTTGGAAACACATGATCGGCTTTATTGCATGGTTCACTGAGCAGAGTTATTATGTGCCACTGTAACAGAAATAAAGGCTGTCATGCTCTGGCCCTGTTGTGGTGGATCTAGGCAGGATAGAAGGAAGGGAATATCATTTATCCCCAAGTAATATGGAGAGAGGAGGCACCAAGGATGGAATTTTTAAGAGTGCCTATGTGCTATAGGAATTGAGACTTGTGCTCTTAAACTGTCACGGCCTTCTGAAAATGCCAATCCGAATGACCTGTCCACGGTCCCAGAAATCTGTGTCTCTGGCTAGGAGCTGAGCTTTGCTCACTGGAGTTCAGTGTTTTACTATAGAACCATGTTTTCTATGTTTGAGAAGGACTGGTGCGCGTGCCGCACGTGTAAATGCAGTGCTTGCTGAAATGAGAGTGCTATAGACATGCTGGCTTCTGCTCCAAAGCCCAAACCTCATTTAATAAATGAATACAGCTTTTCTGGCAACTAAGAGTTCTCTCTTTAGTGGAGCTTGTCATATCAATCTTTGGTCAAAATGGTTTCCAACGGGATATCACCTTTGCACAACCTGAGGTACAGGTCACTTCAATGCTCCCCTTTTGTGGGCTCTCTGGCTTGGCTCCAGGAAACCACTGAAGCATGTGCTTAACTTTAAGCCTGTGAAGAGTCCCACTAAAGTCAAATTGAAGATAGGTGCGTGCTTAAGTGCTTTGTTGGATAAGGGCCAGAGTCATGGAGCTTGTAGCAGAGAGCCTGTATTCCCTATGCTCCTCCTAATCCTCTTCTTGCTGCTCTCTTTCATCATCTCCTGTTCTTGCCCTGCACTTTCCCACTGCCCTCTATGTGCGGAACAAGAAAGCACAGTAAAAAGAGATGAAAAGGCAAGAGAATGGAAGCACACGGAAATTCAGTCCCTTGTCTGACTTCTGCTTTGTTCCCCATCCTCCATGCTTTTCACACGTGTCCTTCAAAGTAATACTCTCTCTCCCTCCAGTCCCCCCCAAAGCAGAGAATTGTCTGAATTTCCTAGCCTCCAAGTCTGGCTCTTCTGGCTTTGCTCTGCGGCATATCCCAATGACCTTCACATTAACTGCATTTTTAAATTTCAATAAAATTTTCTCCCGGATGATGCTAGGCATTGAAGTAGAATAGGTGACAACTAAAGGGGAAAATAAGATTAGACGGACCATTTGAAACTTCTCTTCCCCTCTACCTTGCTCAACATCCGCTCTCTTGTGAGGTATTTTGCTAATGTGGCTGTCGCCAAAATGTGCTTCAGGGTTAGTGAAACCTGAATTTCTCCTGCAAAAAACCAAGCAAGAGTTTTTGAGGTGAGAAGACGAACCACCTATTGGACAAAAGACTTTACTGTAAAGAGCAAACACTTTTTCCCTCCTTCTCTCTGTTTTGCAGTCTCTCTTACCAAACTCTGCGCCGGTCTCTACTACCATAGAGTGCTGTTGCCTTGGGTGCGTGGTGGTGCCCTAGTATAGCTTTCTGGCATAGAAGTGCTCTTCATTTTGCAGTGCAAAGTGCTAGTAGGTTTATGATGCTGCATATGTTGGGAAGAGGGTGGAAAGAAAGTGACAATGGCGCTGGGTCTATGTATGTTTAACTGGGCGCCAAGTGTAGCTGTCTGCCTTTCCTGGGAGACAGAGCTTCCCCCCCACCCCGCTCCCGTGCCTAGCGGTCTCCTGCAGTGCGTGCGTGTCTGCTGCTCGCATTTTTATAAGCTGGGCAGACAGAAGTGTGCTTCAGAAACATTCCTGAAAAATGGAGGGTGTCGTGTAGAATTAATTAAAGCCTTGCGTAATTGCTAATGAAGGATGGCTGCTAAGATAAACAGGGCTTTAGTTGCACCTCTGATACCAAAGGGCTGAACGTGTAATACTGAAGCAGTTACTGGAGCTTGAGAAACAACTGTGGTAGAGCAAAGATCTCAGTATGACATTTGCCAAACTTCATTCCCTCCAAAGAGACTTCTTAAATCCCTGGGCTACCAGATTAGATGTTGTCCAAGGTTAGCAGCCAGATGTTTCTCAGCTGTTGGACTGATTTCCAGCTGAGACCAAATGAGCGGCTATCCAACATGTAAGTATTAATATAAACATCGTAGAGGCCTAGCCTTGAGCAAGCCATTAAAAACTTCCCACGATCCTATGAGTGATGCTGGCTTCCTTGGAGAGCATCAGTATTTTGTATATCGCACTTGAATATCCTGCGTGGGTCAGACTTGGGCTGCCACCTGCTAATGCGGTGTTTGGGCCCGGCCTCCCCCTTGTTCTCGTGGCGCCAGAGCCGTGCGGTCCCTGGAATTTGATTATTTGTGTTAGCAGATAATTTAGGCCAGAAGGCTTAGAGTGCTCCCTTCATTCTCTGGATGTCGTCATGCTTCCCAGCAAAAAACAATCCCAGGTCCTGTGTCGCTTCCTCCCCCCACCAGATACAACAAAACTGCTTTCAACTTTGCTCCTTGAAAGAGTCACTGTCAACTAGTTTTCAGCCTGTTGTTCAGGTTTTGTGGAAACACTGCCTGAAGGGAAGGATTTGACCAAATCTTACGTGAAAAAAACTTAATGATTTTTTTTTACAAAATCCAGGAAAATGAAAAATAAAAGCAAATACTTCCCTGAAGTGTTATGAGCTGCACACCTTTGTGCACAGCAGCTAGGGCACAAGGAGCAGTTCACCCATTGCCCCCTGTTCTGTTGGAATGAAATGAAAGTCAAAACCTTTAAATAACTTTGTAATAACTGTGAGCGTTATAAACTCTTTCAGCAAGATTTTAATGTTTTGTGTTACTCTTGC